CAATGCTAGTATGGTATGATCAAGCTTGCGTACAAGGACTAATGGTTGGTCCGTATCTAGAAGAAAGTGGAAATATTTATCTCAACTGATGCTTGATGATATAACTGGATTTTACTGAACTGTTAGCGGTAGAATCGTAAAACATCAGTTCTAAAAAATATGTAAATAATGCCTAAAGTATTTAGGCATACTTCTATCCCCTTTTCTATCAGTTCATTCCCTACAGAATAGTGATATACTAGAGTCTAGACATTTTCACAATCTGAAGGAAAATTGGAATGATTTGAAGTCTTAGATATTGGAGTCAGCACATAGTTTTTGGCATGCCATTTGTTTTAGTCTCCCTTCGAGCGGTTGGAAAAAAGTAGTGAAAATAGTTAGAATGTCGTTGGCTAGTAGTCAATACCAATCCTTGGAGATGGTACTGAATTGGGATCATTGAATAAAAGAGCAATTGAAGCATCAGACGAGAGAAGGCCTATTCCAGATCTCCGTACTGGTGATGTTGTGGAAATCAAACTGATATGCCATTTTTCACTTGTTAGACTTATTTCAATACAATTACATACTGGTAGTTGCCTGCATTTTGTAATATTAGACTATTTTGTGCTCTACAGGAAGTACCTGGGAACAAGCGCCGGTTGTCTTTATATAAAGGTATAATCATGCTGAAGCAAAATGCTGGCATCCACACAACGGTACGTATTCGGCGCATAATTGCTGGCGTTGGAGTTGAGATTGTGTTCCCTATGTAAGTTGTCACTTTTGAGAAAGATTTGATATATATAATCATGTCACCATTTTATTCTAACTCTAGTCAGGCCTCTAAGCTCTATCTAAGTGATTCATCGTAACTCGCTTATAAACAGAGGTGCCTTCCTTGTACATTTCTTTATTTTATGCCAAATGTGGCTATCAAGCATACTTGAAATATGACAGTTCGTGCTTCTGTCACATTTAAATAAATTGCTCAATTGCCTCGTAATTCATAATCACTACACCTTTGTATCAAGACTTTGTCATAGAATCATATGGATCTTGGAAACTCTGAAAATATGTTCTGATTGTTCTCATTTCTCTAGTCGACCTATTCACAGTAAATGATATATCAAATGTAACAAGGTGACAATTGTTATCAAAAGAGCTTTCGTACTATAGAAGGTTGGTAGTCAGTGGACCATATTTATGTTGGAATCTGTAAAATTGATTCACATTGTTCACACCAATCATGAGTTTACCATTTCATTTCTTTGCTTTTGTGGTTATGGTTTTCTTCATGAACATCCCACAATTGATATTCTTAACTTTCAATATTAACATTGATAGCTCAAAGCCTGGAACGAACATGTGAAGTTTTGGGAAGATTGAAGTAGTTAGCCACCGGAAGGTTCGTAGTGCCAGGTTGTACTATCTGCGAGACAAGCTGCCAAGGTTCTCGACTTTCAAATAAAGTGTCATTTGGTGTACTAATGCTTGTTCTGGCGGCTAAGCTTAGATCACAATTTTCCGTGTTTGGTTTCCGGTTGTAATTACGTGAGTGAGAACCCTATTTCAGTTATTAAAATTTCATGCGACCGATCAGCTCCCCGAAAATTTTCTGCTTTTGTACTGCTTTAAGTATATCCCAGTCTTCATCCTAATGTTACGTTTTGGCTACTGATCTGCATAAGTAACTGGAAAAAATTTTCTCTAGAGAAAATAGAACCTTTTATTCTCCTTTGTAGGTTTACCTTTTAAAACTCTGCTGACAAAAAAAGTTCGTTTATTTATTACATATTTGGTGGAGGTGTGCATTGAAACGTGGTTCTGTTGGGCTCTTAGTTAAGTGGGGGACTGAGTGGGCTCATATAGTTAATATAGTAAGGCTTAATTAGAAAAAAAACTGCTTGGGCCAGACGAACAATTAGGATGGCGTTCTTACAAAATGATTACATCGAAGAAAGAGTATTTTTTTTTTATTATTATGTGTAGTGTTATGATTAATTATTTTTAATTAAGATTTATTTTATAAAAATAGCAACATAATCTATAATGACATCCTCTCTATATATAATTTGAAAATGCGCTGAGCCTACGTGGCTGCTTCTGGTGTTTGGGAATCCTATTTGGCGAAGAATCATGCTTCGGAATTAGGTTTGGACAAATAATATTGATATATTAATAATTAATAACCTAGGTTTGGACATTCCATAAATATTATTTAGCTAACTTAGGTATTTTAATGTCACTTGTACTAATATAACCCTTTAATTTCTTGTAATTTTACATTGTGAGACACTAAGTGACTAATATATCCCTAACTTTTGATTTGTTTCCTTCAATTAGCTATTGAATTGTAAATGTATTTTAAAAATTGATAACTTTTGTATTTCTTATCTGTAACACCCCACCTTACTATATAAATCAGAGTTGCGCATTTATTCGCAAAGTCTTTGAAAACTAAAACATTTTTACTTTGCGAAACTGATTTGGGGTGCTACCGTGAAAATCGTTACTTAACTTTAGAAAACCGTGGTTTTAACTTATAAAAAAACGTCCGGTTACTGAAAAACTGTGTTTTCTGAAAAGTACGTCAAAATATAATAAGTTTGTCAAAACCATCAAAACATCGTCAAAAGATCGTCAAAACGTAAGCGGAA